ATTTGGTATGTTATTGCTCGAGCGGCATTTTATAAATTTTTTCTCCTGTTTTCGCTATTAGTCGATGAAGTGTGTTTCCAAAAATTTCACATTTTCAAGTTTTTGTGTTGTCTTGTTCGATACATTGATACGCTGCAGTCGAAAACACAGTACACTCGCCACACATCTGACAACCTTTTCAATCGCTTTGACAAATTCTATATTACCTAATAGTTAAGTTGTTGGCGAACCTGTTTTCTTCGTCTCAAGTTCAGACTAAAAGAAATTTGGGTTCTTTTTATTAAGAGAAAAACATCAAGGAAACTTTCATGTCTGTCAAAATGCAGAAAAAAAAAACAAATGAATTGACATTTGCGCTTGAGGTAAAAATGCTCAGTTTTTTGAGGTCTTGCAGAATTTTGCCAAGTGTGAAATTCTTGTAGGTGAAAAGTTGATTAATAAATTTCAAGACGGTGGGGCTCCAAAATCTTTTGAAGTGGTGCATGTATTTTCAGGTGCTAGTTCATTTTTTTCGAATTTTCGAATGTTTCTTTAATTCTCAAATATTTTATCGTATCTTTGTACAGATGATGAGTCCGAAGTCTTCCGAAGGGTCGTAGCATATTTAGAATATTCTGCCAAATAGCAAATTATTTCAAAAGTTTTTTTTGAATTTATACAAAAATTATTAAAATTACTGTGTTTCTTTTCGCCTTGAATCCAGAAACTTTTTTTCGTTCCATGCAAAGAAAAAATAGCCCCACCTTAACTTCTGCATTTTGTGCCTACCTTCTTTCTCCCTCCCCCCTCCCCTGCCTTCTGGTTCTTCCTGCCCTTCACGCCTTCTCTGACTACGTCAGTCTTACGTTCATTCCCAGCATTTTACTTAAAACTATTACTGTGGTAATATTTTTGCCTCCTTCTGGTTTTTAGTTCTTCGCATTTTGTCACGTTGCTTAGCAGAATGATGCAAAATTTGTTTGCTGTTTGCATCAAGCATTCAGGTTGCTTATAAGTTCCACACTGTATAAAAAGCAACATGTTCATGCAAGGATTCCACATCGCCTAAAAATCACTCACACTGCCCGCATAAACAAATTTGTTAAAGATTTTATTGCAGGTCCGAAGAAAAAAAAACTCAGTAAATAATTGCTGATCGCATCGTCAAAGTCCATAAATTTTCGGGATTTTTCGAAGATTAAAACTCCTACGCACCCGTAATTATGGTCAATCTTGCAAAGTCTAAATGAGCTGATTTTTCAAGTTCATTGGTCTAAGTGTTTATGGGCTCAAACTTTGAAATATCGACTGAGTGTTGCCGACTTTGTTACTTTGAAATATTGCTGCTTTACCTTTTTAACAACTGGCAAGATTGTGAATTCGCGAATTCGCTGCATCTTTCTGATTCTATATTACATTTGAATTAAAATCCATTAGCAGTTTTCCCAATCTTAGTTGACATTGCATGGGTACCATCCAAAAATCCACTTTCTCCATCTGCTGCCTCTCATTCTCTGCTCTGAACTCATTTTGTCTTTTTGGCTTGCAAACTGGGCTTGTTATAGCGGATTATGGATTGTAGAGATTGAGATAGCTAATTTTAACTGCACTTTTAAAAGAGGTGTGTACTGGCATTTACCCTAATGGTATTTGCAGGGCCTCTAATTGCTCTGAATTTTGCATTTTTTTTTTTTGTTTTTTTTTGTGGCTTATTTTTTTCTTTTTTTGAATTACTATCAGCATCATTTGTATATTGCTGAAAACATATGTGCTAATAAATTTTTGCATATGGTACCTGCTCATCCTGTAAATTTTAGTTTTAGTTTTTTTTTTGAATTCTGAATTTTTCCGTTTTTTTTTTTTTGAAGAACTTATGTTTTTGTTTATTGTTAGTCTCAGTTCTGATCAAGGCAACAAGAAAGTTGTTACGCCTTTAGATGAAATTCCACACCATTAACTACAGTTGTCCCATTTCAACTACCTTCAGGTTCCAGATAGCCAGGTAACTTTTTTTATAAATTCTTTAGGCCTTTGAGATTTCACTTCAGGCTTTTAAGATTTCAAGTTTTTCAATTTGTGTGGTCTAATTTTTAAAAAATCTTTAAAATTTTAATAATTGATCTCGAAGAAACTGTCCTTTGAGATCATTGGAGCCTAGTAAATCGCAGGAAAAAAAAAATCAGCGGTATCGCGGCTGACTCAAAATTCACAATGCGAAATTTTTTGGCACGGTTTCAGATTTGAAATTAATTTGTTTCAGATTTTTCAGGTCACTCACAAAATACCAGTCTCAGCTCCATCATTAATCTTTTTTTTGATTTTAAATAATTGCCATATTTGATCGATTCTAAGAAATAATGTTTGTGAATAAAAACTCTGAAAATACCAATGGCGATTTTTTCCTCATAACTGCCAAAATTAATCGGATAGTCGATATGGAGACCCTGTATTAGCTGTATGACTGTACTGCACAGTTCGTGAGACGTATAAGCGTATGGTTGTTTCTAACAACTTTTTAATTCTATCAAATATGACAATTTATATGTATAACACACTAACACATGCTTGCTTACGCTAACATTTAAAGAAAATTCTTGAAAAGCTTAACAGTAGAAATTATATTTTTGGTTATTTTCAGGCTACCAGCGAAGGACCGAAAAAAGTAAGTTACAACTTTTCATATTTCTTTTCTAATTTCCTCTCTTCAGTCATCAAGTCCGCACAGATCACCAGACCATCTCAAATTAAAAATGAAAATCTTTTGACGAATCAGTCAGCTGCTGTAAGATGCAACTACCTGTTCACGTTATCATATCAGATATACGTATAATTTGAATTGCTACTATTAATAATCGTTACTGTTGTTGTTACTATTATTATCTTCACTATTATTTGTTATTATTTTTATTGTTATTACTAATATTGTTATTTTTGTCGTTATTACTATTGTTGTTATTACATTTTATGAAGCTGCCTCGACACACCCTGGAGATGAAGACGTTTAAAATTCAATAACATGCAGATGAAATCTTTTAAAATTCAATAATCTTCACTTAATCAGCACGTGCAATACTACGGGAAGAAACAAAATACTGTGCTGCTGCTGAAACAGGCTGACTACTGATTATAGGCCTAAAATGTTGAGCGAAATTAGGACGGATCCTACGGAAGGACCTAAACTAGTTATTCTCAATTATAGATAGTTGTGAGTCCCACCGTTATGCTTCTACGTACGTTAATAACTTTCACTTTCAAGCAAAGACTGCCAGCTGTAAGTTTTTTTTTCCTTTTTAGTGAATTTTTTCAATTTTTTAATGAGAAGTTTGCAGATTTTTGATGTTTTTAGAAAGAATCATCCTACTATATCGCCTTCTTTAAATAGCGTTTCGTTTTTTTTGGAGGGGGAAAAGAATCGTAGGATTGAGTGAAAGGCAGGTAAAGAGGGGATTCGATTTCTTCCAGGATTTCCCTTAATTTAAAAGAAATTCCTTCCCCCGACCACACTTTTATCCTCTTTTCTGCTAATTTTTCATGCGTAAAAAAAAGCTTTGCATACTTTATTAATTTTTAGTTTTCCTTTTGCACCGATCCACTTTATAGTGCCTCACTTAACGTTTACAAAAACCCGCCATTTTTCTGAATTTGCTTTATTTTTGCAGCTGGTAGTAGATTTTCATTTTTTGCATCTTGCCTAATCTTTATCCACTTCTCTTAGCTGCACAGTGAATGTACTTCTAGTGCGATAGCCTGTGGCTTGCTTTTTTGTGCACAACTCGGGGTTTCGGGGTGGTTTAACACGTTCGCAGCAAAAAGCTAATGGTTAGTTTCATAGCTTCGTTAGCCTTAGTTTGTAATCGACACTTAACCACACTGTATCGAGGAATGAACCCATGGAATTGCAGCTCCCCAGCTGCTTTTGTTGCTGAGTTACAAAATTGTCAATTTCAGTCTTCCACTTGTCTATAACTGTTATTAATTAGGCCTTTATTAGACTTGATTAGGCCACTGTTAAAATGTAAATTGTTAGTGGAGAAAAAATAGTTTTGTTAATTTTTCGGATTTTTATTACTGAATAATCCGGAAATGTTTTTTGTGCTTTTTGTATTAAATTGAAAAGGTGAGGAATTTAATAATTCTAACAATTCATGTTAAGATTTTTTGTGAATTTTTTGAGACTTGAAAAATTATGATTTTGAATTGTAATTTAGAATGAGGACCTAGATCAGTTAGCGCGCTTGAATGAGAAACTTTTGGAGCGATCTAGAGGACGGCGAACACCTCACAAACTTGTTGATCCTGAAATTGTTAAGACGGCGCCGGATCCGGTACCAGCCACTGTTAAGGTTCGCTTTTCTGGCTTTGCTTCTTTTTTGTCCACCAGGTTCAGTGTTGCAAAAGTATAACAGATTTTCTTTTTCGTGCTGCAGTAACTAACAGACTTTCCTTGGCAGAACTGCAATGCTTCAACTTTTATCACGCAGAGTGAGCTAAATTTAAATGGTACGAATCCAGGAAGCGAAAAAGAGGGTGCGAACAACATTTGGTATTCTTTGCTTAGTTTTGCACCTCAATTTACATTTGTGCTGTGATTTGTTTACCACTCAATTTTTTTTCTTGCTAAATTAGGCCCACATGAAGTAAAATCTTAGCTCTGCAGCGCATTTTGCATCAT